ACAGACGGCCCCTTCGGAACTCCCGGTGCTCCAAAGTAATGCGTCCCTTCCTGAACAGATAGGGACCGTCGTGATCGCGCACGATCGTTGCCCGAGCCGCCTCGGGCCGCCCTCTCCAGGTTTATGTCGGGCGTGTCCCCCTACAGGGGGACTGTCGACGGAAAAAAACAAATACCCTAACAAAATACCCCCAAAAATGTGTATATATATATATATATATATATATGCTCATATATATATAATTACTCCAAACATAGTCCCCAGATCATTTTTGGACTATTGTTTGACACATCTCTTATATCAATGATCGCGCCACTCGGGTCTGCCCAGGTTGCCCCCAGCGGAGTGTTACGGCGGCACACTCGGCCCCCAGACGTGCCCAGAGCGGCCCGAGTGGAGGCCCAACGGGTCTCATACTCCTCCTCCTCCTCCTCCTCCTCCTCCTCCTCCTCGTCCTCCTCTTCCTCCTCCTCCTCCTCCTCACATTATCTTTCGGAGGCCACCCAGATAGCCACGAGGACCTCAAGATGGAGCAAGAGGGCGCCGAGACTGACACAGAGGCCCGCAAGGCAGCCCCAGACAGGTTCCAGAGCGGCCCCATACGGAGCTGAGAGCCCCTCCGGGGATAGAACAAAACGGCTGCAAGGCGAGCCCTGATGCTCTCAGAGCGCTCCCAAGAGGTCCAAAGACGGCCCCTTTGCAGCTCCCGGGGTTCGAAAGTATTGCGACCATTTCCTTATCAAAATTATCGCGCCGCTCTCGGGTCTAATTCGACCTTGCTTTCCCAGTCTGAGTGGGAAATCATTGTCAACACCGTAATGCATTTTACGGTTTTCGTTTTTAACCCCGGCTGCCTCAAGAGGGACAAGCACAGAATCCATTGCTATGTTGGCTCACGCGGCGTAGCTATTTTGACCCAAGCCCGTTGATTGAAGAGATGCTGGTTTACTGCAAGTGCGCATGGAGCGCTCCTGCCGTTTTCCCTGAGCATAGATGCAACTCCGAACCGTTTCCCTACGGTACCATTGCGCAGCGGGCATATCTCGGAGTCATTCATCCGTGCCCCAGCATTTCTCAAGTGCAGCAGCATCGTGATTTCTTGATTTGTTTCATGCGGAGGCTGAGGTGGATGCGCCCCTCACATGTCGAAGTTGGTGGTGTTGTTTTTACATTACATTTAAAGGCATCCGAGGCAGCCTCTCATAATGAAAAGTGTCCTCTTCCACGGAGGAGGTCGAGTAGTCGGCAGGATTCTTCGTCGGAGATGGGCGCGGCACGTCTGAAGGAGGCTATGGTTATGTCAGCGTTTCCCAGGTAATCGATCGTAGCGCACGTTTGATGCGTTGTCGTTCTGCCGACGGTGGCGGTATACATTTTCATGGCTCGAGGCACGGGACGCGACGGCCAACCTTGCAATGGTCCGCATGCGGTAACGCTGCGTGTCGGGCAGCACAGACCCTTTCATCATGGCCCGGCTTGAAGCAGTCGCAGTCTAATTTGTGCGGATGCTGGCCTACGCATCCAGAATCCCGATTGCAATGTCAGGCCCTTTTGAAAGAAATGCAGCGACGAAGTTACTTTTTTTTCATAGAGTGTGTTGCGTTGCTTCGTAGGATTTTTGGACGCAGACGGACGCACGAAGGTCCCTCCTCACAAATCGTTTACACATTTGAGGGTACTGCAAGTTAACAAGTCGGTGCTAGATTGTATTGCAGCTTTTTCGGAGAAGGAGTCAGAACGCAGATGGGATCCAGTTAAGCCGTTTTGGCGGGACGTTCATCGCGTGCTTGAGTGCGCGCAGACAAAACAGCACGTATGCGAGGCGTCTTTCGTCTGGGCTGTCCGCGAAGCGCAGGGAGGCGGAACTATCTTTGTCTTTGGAGAAGGGGCTTGGCAGCCGATGTCGAACAAGAGAAGCTGTGTCGCAATTGCCTGGGGGCCAGTCTCGCTATGCATGCCTGGATCCAGGCGGCGTTGCCAGAGCTGCGTGTGTTTTCGGCCCAATGCAGCGAGGGCCCCAGGGCAGTGATTACATCTCCTTGAGCAGCAGCTTGAGTATATGAACGCGCAGCATGACAGAGCTACAGTACCATCGCAGATTTCCCTCCTGCGTCAAGACATCCGAGGTCCTACCGGTACAGGGCGCTACTCTAATGACAAGAGGGCTTGCACAGAAAGAGTACGACCTCCAAGGCAAATCTTAATAGAGCAACCATACAGCGACGAAGACAAAGGCATCAAGACCAGGTTGCCCCTGTCATGCCTTGCCAGCGGACGAGGAGGAGGAGGAGGAGGAGCAGAAGGAGGAGGAGGAGGAGGAGGAGGAGCAGCAGGAGTAGGATGAGGATGGGGAGGAGGAAGAAGATGGAGAAGAAGAAGAAGAAGAAGAATAATAATAAGAAAAAGAAAAAGATGAGGAAGCGGAGAGGAGCAGGCGCGAGAGCGGCGGAGCAGAGGCGTGGGCGCGCAGAGCCCGGATGCCCTGCCGCACAGATGTCCCCCGAGGCCAAGGGTTGCACACGTCCTCCGCCCAGGGGTCTGGTGTCTCAGGATCCCAGGAGGCAGAGGGCACGGAGCAGCTTCTCCGGGGCACGGGTGCCAGCCCGTGTGATCTCGCTGCAGTGTGCCCCCTCCTCGTCTTCGAAGCTGTCTACTACTCACTGGGTGGGGCCTGTCCCCAGTCAAAAACCACTGGGTGGAGGATGCGGAGATCTCCCCGCCCCCCCGGGAACTGAGAATGTCTGTGCCCGCCGCCTCCCGGGGTCCTGGGGCGTTAGCTCCCCGGGCGGCGGACATGCAGAGCAAATCAGCTGGGGGCTCTAGCCCTCGGCGCCTGTTTTTTTTAGACTCTGGCAAGTTTACTTGCATGGACGGGGGGGGGGCTGAGCCTGAAGCAAGCCTGGGGGGTGGGGGGCGCGGAAATCACGCAAGTCGAAAGGCACTTGCACGCTAGTATTCGCTTGAAGAGGGGCGAGGGGGGGAGGGGGGGGGCGAACGCCATGCAAGTAAACTTGCCTGAATCCAAAAAAACAGGCTCTCGGCGCCGCTCTGCCCCTACCCACCAGCTCGTCCAGCTCTCTGCCAGCTCGTCCAGCTCTGCGTCGTCGTGATTGTCGCCGTTGCCGGCGCCGGCGCCGCCGGCGCCGGCGCCGCCGCCGCCGCCGTCGTCGTCGTCGTCGTCGTCGTCGTCGTCGTCGTCGTCGTCGTCGTCGTCGTCGTAGCCTGCAGGTTCGAGGTTGATTCGCCAGCAGGCGTGTGCGAACGCCGATAAGTTTCTCCGCATTCGGGCGCTTCTCTTGCGACAGCAGAGGCAGTTCATGGATGTGGCCAGCCAGGTTGCGAGCAGCCCAGACGGCGCGACCCGTCAGTATCTTAGATGTCTTGGCTGGAACCCATGCTGGGCCAGTCGCCCAGACCGACTAGAGGAGATCATGGACGAATGTCACAGCTTCGACTGTATGATGTTGGCTTGCACCAAGACGACACGCAGCAGCGCAGATGGATAGGTCCGCAGTCGTCGAGCAGGTGGTCGTCTGGTGCTGGAGGCTCCTTGTGAGGCGGGACGGCGGCCAGCAGCTTTCAGCAACTCGTCGTGTGGCGTGGCAATCGGCATGCCGCCGAGGGCCCCCCGCTCCGCGGTCCAGCGGACGTGGGCGAGCCCAGTTGGTGCTCCAGGACGTGCCCTTGCTGTCAGGGTGAAGTTTCAGAATGTTGACGTGCTGGCAGTGAGCATGGATTTCCCGCCGCAAGGTCGAAGTAACCAGCCGGAGTCAAGACTGGGGGTTGTAAGTTGTTAATGGGGTGGCTGGGTTGCGTCTTAGCTTGTGTACCGACCAGTTGCATGCCGATGATATCTATGTTTATGGACTTGAACGATGGGATAGGCGATAGACATTGCGAGAGCGGCCTCGAGCGCGTGAATGACTAGGTGGTCGGTGCCCCCACGAAGGAGCGCATCAAAGGAGGAACAGGCCAACGCATGAGGGATCTTGGTGACCACAAGTTATGCATGGGCCCGCCACCGAGTGATCGACACTTTCTATGGTGAGACGGGCTCGAGCCGCGCCGATTACATGGCATTCCCCCAGGGCATCTGCCCGCTAGTGGGAAGTTGCCAGGTCGTCCCGCGACTCGGCGCAAAACTGCAGGCGCTCAAGGGTACGCCGCCGCGGGGCCACCTTCCCGTCCAGTGCTGCATTGAGTACCGTAAGTATGGAGTGCCGGACCCAGCCAAGATCACTGCTGAGGTCGCGCGTGGGGACCGCGCGAAGATGATGGAGTCTGTGCGCGCTGGAGCAGGGCGGGAACCATTTCCGACTGAGGTGAAGGCGGCCCTTCAGACGTTGCCAGTCCATTCGTACATCGACTGGGACTCGCCCGACACCATCTTCGAGGGATTGGAGATGTGTGTGCGTGTGTGTGTGCGATGCTGCTGCGCGCCACTTCGGCGCGCAGCAAGGCCATGGCGAGCCCTTCTCCTCCTTCGCCGCTGAGCGCTGGCAGCTGCTGCGCCGCCGCGTGGAGCTCAGAGGGTCGACGTCGGGCGCTACTGAGGAGGGGGCCGAGAGGATAGACGCGCAACTGAAGGTCGTCTCGAAGTTGCTGTCGGCGAAGCGGCGAAAGCACCAGACACGGCGAGTGGCCGCGCTGATGGACGAGGCCGCATGCAGGCGGAGGTGATGAAGGCTTGCAGGGCGGCCGCATACTGCCGCTACGGCTCTATGCGACGCGGCGGGCGCCTGTTCGCCCCGGCGCCGCCTTCGGCAGCGGAGTGGCTCGAGACATGGCCGAAGGAGAGCCACCTTGGCAACGTGCAGGCCTGCGAGATTGAGTGTGAGGAATGGCGAGCACAGCGGGGGGAACTGATGTGCGATGGCGTTGAGGGCGAGGAGATTGCGGAGCTGGTCAAGAGCGACATCAGGAGCATCAGGAGCTACTTGTGCCGCGCGGTCTAGAGGAGACTAGCGCCACCTGGGACGCAGCCCTGTGAGCTCTGGCCGATGCTTCTGTTGCCGAACTACCGCGTGAGCCAGAAACGAGGCCTCGGCAAGCGGCCGATCCCGCCCATGGACTCGTGCCATTTCCTGCTGCGCCTCGGGGTGCCCGAGATGAATCCCCACGATTGCGTTCCATTGTGCTGGTGGTGGTCTCGTGGCGCTGGGCTGCTGGGGAATTTTACACCTGGCTCCTAAGGCCGCAGGGGCATTCATATTATGTCGTCGAGTGGCAGAGTTTTTTTTTGCCACGCGCCTCCGACTCGAGCCGGCGAGCCTAGGGCTCGGCCTCCGTAGGCGCTGCAGGAGAGAGGAGGCCATCCTAGTGGCCAACGCCATGGCGTGGCGTTTGCGACAGTGTAACCGTTCTATCTGCGTCTGTTCCAAAGACATGGCCGACGCCTTTGCTTCGACGCAGTGACGGGACATGGAGTCGGCGGCGTGGTGGTGGTGGTGGTGTGGGGGGGGGGTGGCGGGGGATCTCTCACTTGAATATGGGAAAGTCAGAACAGCGTTGTCACCTTGCAAGGCGAGGACAGTGTGATAACACTAAAGACTACCCAGACTGGAACCATGGGGGGCCCTTTTATTACGAAGTGTTTCGTGGATTGTTTTCGGTGGCCAGTGCTCGCCCGGCCCCGGGCCTCGAGCGTTTTCGGCCCCCGGGCCAAGTCTTCAACGGCGCATTGGGGTCCCTGTGGTGCCGAAGGGTGTCCGGCGATTTTTGTTGGCGATCTGTGTGGAATCATATCGGCCTCGCCTGGCTCAACTTTTACAGCTACTCCGCAGCCTGGGCGAGGAACTTGGCGAGAGGCTCGCCGCGGCCGGATTCGCGCAACTTCTGGGCAAGCAGGAGTTCCAATTTCACTTTTGCTGGAACAGAGACAGGTTGCAGCGGCTTTTGAGGGGGCTTTGGCGACCATGGAGTGGAAGGGCCCCCAAACATACATGCCGATATCTAGGGCTTTTCCTACGTCAGAAAGAGAGAGAGAGAGAGAGAGAGAGAGAGAGAGAGAGAGAGAGAGAGAGAGAGAGAGAGAGAGAGAGAGAGAGAGAGAGAGAGAGAGAGAGAGAGATAGATATATATAGAGAGAGAGAGAGAGAGAGAGAGAGAGAGAGAGAGAGAGAGAGAGAGAGAGAGAGAGAGAGCGAGGGAGATATCGAGAGAGAGAGAGGAACTTGTCATCGCGAGGTCGAGGAACGAATTTGAGCCACACGTAGCAGTCTTTGTTCGCTTGGAGGTGTCTGGGGCCCCCCAGGGATTCCGCGCCGCATGCGCCATTGTTTACTGCGAGCCCTTGCAGTGAATACCATGCGTGCAGGTCTGGGCGGGGTTCGCTCCATCGAGCGTGGACGCTGGCAAGCTAGACGGAGCTTTACCAGGACGCAACAGGGTGGCCATGCTCGGCGAAACCACCTCGCGGGGCGGATATCGCCCCAAACCTTTGACGACCCCGCAGATGCCCCGTCGCTGGCGATTCGGGGAGAGTTGGCTCGAGTTGAGATTGATGCGCCTTCGCATGTATAAGAGCTGGGCTTCAGAGCCCCAGCGACGCGTGCAGGTGCTATGCGTGCTCTTCGGTGATGTTCCTGCGTGCCCTCGTTTCCCCCGCGTCTAGAATGGTCGCCCTACAGTGTGCGCCTCGCCCTTTGCGCGGCAAGAAGTTAGAGATCTCGAGTTTTGCGGATGACAAACTTGAGTGGGGCATCCCCGGGGCTTCCGCATCCAATTCAGGCTTGTTTCAGGATAGCGAGGCGTGAGGGGAATTCTGCAGAATCGATTTCCACGAAAGCCGACAGCAACAATACACGGTGTGCATTCTCCCATCGTGGCCTGGGCCTTTCTTCCCTTTTCCCTCCCCTTGGTCCGTCTGCTGCTGCGCCTGCTGCCCCTCCTGCCTCTTCCCGTTCCTCTACCGCGGCCGAGGAGGTGAGTGCGTTTCGATGATGGGTGGTGAACGATGGGGGCCCCCTTGCGACACTAGTTTTCTAATTCAGAAGGGGCTCCTCAATCGCATCCGTTTTTGCCCATCATGTCCGAAATCTTGCCCCGGTTGAAACGAGGACAAGTGCGTGCGCATGTAGTAAACCAGTTTTTGCCACTCGAGCGGCTGCCTGCAGACGCCAGCAGGGCTCGCTTCAACAGCGCCACTGTTTTACGAAAAGGCCCCTTCGGCCCTGGTTCCTGAGATGTCCCCTGGCTGCTTAGATTGTCCGTGCGGCGATTTTTCGGCGCGAGCCTTTGATGAGTTGTGCTGCTATCTAAAACAGCATCTTCCGTGGTCAGAGTTTCGGCAGCTGGCAGGCGGCGCGCCGGGGGGCGCGGCGGTGGCGCTTCCAGACTGGCGCAGCCAGACGGCGAAGCGCCGCGCAGAGGAGGGCCCCAAAGAGATTGCCGTCGCGAAGGATGAGGCAGGAGCAGGCAACCAGGAACGTAATAGGGGCCGCGCAGGCCACAAGGGACTCGCGAAAGCGCGCGCCGAACTGCTGCTGATCTTCGCCAGGGAAGTGGCCGACGTCGGCGCCTGCGTCTTCCACGAGTGGTTCTTCCCAGCCGAGAAGGGAGTCGTGCAGGCCGTGGTCCGAGCGGACAAGCTGTGCGACGGGTTCAGCGAGGAGATGAAGCAGGGGGCGCAGTCTGGCGGCAACCCAGACTTTCGAGCTCGAGGCGCACCTCACCTGCGCGTGTTCATGGCCCTCGTCGTCTACTGCCCTGCGAAGGGGAGTCAGGGGGACAAGAGCGTGGCCGACGCAGTGTCGGATCTTCTCGATCGCCTCAACAGTCAGATCAGCAATCTGTCGCTGCAGCACCTTGGGCGGATCGTGAAGCGCGGCCGCGTGAAGGTGCAGGAGAAGAAGATGGCGGGCAGCTGATGGCGACGCTCTAGTTGAACACCCATCGGCACGACAATGCGGGGGCGAGGCTGTGCGAGACACTGTCGGCGGTGATCGACGCGGAGCAGGGCGAGTGCGTGGGGGGGGCTCAGCCGAGGGGTCCTCTGGAGCGCGACGTGTCGCGCATGTCGGACGGCCAGTGGAAGTCTCTGGCAGCAGCAGTTGCACGAGTGCTCGCCGTTCTTTTTCTACCCGCGTTCCGAGGGAGCTTGCGCAGAGTGAGAGACTGCCTCGCTGATCGAGCGAGGCCTTTTGACCAGGGATTTTGCGAATCGTGCGAGCGGTACTTCAGTAGCTCACGGATATGAGTCCGTTGGGCTACCATCCATACCAGTTTTGTTGCTGCCACGGCACTCAGTAGTCAAGGGAAAAGGGTCGGGGTGGGAGTTGGGCTAAGGGGGTTGGGTCGTGGGAGGAAGGCCGTGGCATGCCTGGCGCTTTGCGAGTTGGGGCCCCTATCTGCTATCTGGGGCTGCGTGTTCAGGGGGGGGGGGCCCGTCAGGGCCAGTGCTGCCTCGAGCAGAGCGTGGTCGCACCTGCTCTCCATAGCTTATGCCGTCGGCTGTGTAGCAGCCTGCCCAGAGTTCTAAGCCATGCTGCTAGATGGAGTGCAGAGCGCTCCATGGGTGCTTGTCTTGTCTTGTCATCGTCGTCGTCGTCGTCGTGATCGTCGTTGTGATCGCTGTAGTCGTCGTCGTAGTCGTCGTTGTCGTTTTGGTTGTCGTCGTGATCGTCGTCGTCCTCGTCACCGTGGTTGTCCTCGTCGCCGTCGTCGTCCTCGCCCTCGCCCACCCCTCCCCCGCGCGCGCCGCCGGACCGCGGCAGGGCCCCTGGCCGTCGCCGATCGGGGCGCCGAGGCGGCGGCCGCGAGCGGCGTGCCAGCCGCGCCGCCGGCCGCGGAGGAGGAGGCGGGTCCCTGCAGACGTGCTCGCGGCGTGCCGGCCTTCCACGGTCGTGCGACGCTGATGCCGTCGCCGACGCCGACGCCGACGCCGACGCCGACGCCGCCGCGCCCCCGACCCCGACCCCGACCCCGCCCCCGCCGCCGCCGCCGCCGCCGCCGCCGCCGACGACGACGACGACGACGACGACGACGACGACGACGACGACGGCGGCGGCGGCGGCGGCGGCGGCGGCTGCGGAGGAGGAGGCGGCGAGCCTTGGCAGGCGTGCTCGCGGCGTGCCGCCCCCCACGGGCGCTTGCGCCTGTTGTCAGACGTTTTTTTTTTTTTTTTTTTTTTTTTTTTTTTTTTTTTTTTTTTTTTTTTTTTTTTTTTTTGTTTTTTTCGATTTTGTGGCACGATTTGGGTGGAGTTCATTTCTTCGTTGCTTTTGGGCCTTGGGACCGTCACAGATCGATCTGTGTCGCAACATGGCGCAGAAAAGGTGGGGTCCAGGGCCAGGGTTCCAGTCGTGAGTTCTTGGCGCTTCACGAATCCCCACGAGAACTTCGCTAGCGCCTTCGCTAGCCGACGCGACCGAAACAAATTCCCCACGAACCCCGTCAGAAACAGTTTGCCAGGCGAGTTGAAGCGTTGTTGTGAAAGGTTTTCGGGGGTCTCTTGGAGCCATCTTGGGACTCTCTTGAGGTCCTCTTGGGGCCCTCTAAGGGACCTTTTGGGGCCATTTTGGGGTCCTCCTGGGCCTGTTTCAGGCGGGTCTGAGAGGTCTCTTGGGGCCGTTGTGGCCCCCGCAGCTCAAAAGGAGGGGGGTCCTAAATTCAGGCCCCCCCCATCGGACGCTCAAAAACTACCTCTGGGGGCCTTGGGGCGCTCTTGGGGTGCTCTTGGGTGCTCTTGGGGCCCCCTAGGGTCCCTCTTGGGCCCCTCTTGGTGCTCTCTTGGGCCGTTTCGGGGCCATCTTGAGGCCTCGGAAGTCCACCAGAAACGAAAAGGCGAGAACGCACGAATCAATAATTTCCCGCAGGATTTGGATCATTTTGGCCTCTTGGCAGGGTCCTTGGAGGGCTCGGAGGGCACTTGAAACCATCTTGGGGCTGTCTTGGGGCGTCTTCGACGTATGTGGGAGACTACCTTGAGCCATCTTCAGCCTTCTTGAACCATCTTGGAGGCCATCTTGGGCTCTCTGAGGCCCTCTTGGAGCCATCTTGGGCCATCTTAGGCGCTCTAGCGCCTCTCGCCCCCCCCCCCTCCCAGGCCCAGAGGAGGGGGTAGGGGGAGGGGCGGTATCCCTCCCCCAAGCAGGGGAAGGAGGGGTTGTGGAAAGAGAGAAGACAAAACTCGTTCAAGCACCCACGTCCAGAGGGCTGGTGGGATTGTTACTCTGTTGCAGTATTCCGCGGTTTGTCTTCGGACGTTTTGTCAGTTCTTGGAGGTTTTCCTGCCTCGGGGGATGCATTCTGGCAGCTGCGCCTTGCCGCGGTCGTTTAGGGGGTGCCCGGAGCGGTCGCCAGAGGCCAGAGTTGTGGCCCAGAGGGCAGACGTGCTCGCGTCATGCACACCCTCGCGGCGGAAGGTTTTTGGCCGTCTTTGGCTTCCCACGGACGGCCGCCGGGCATTGGGACCATCAAGGCACGGCTCGGGATGGAAAACCGGCCCCAGGGGCAGAGTCGGGGTCTCTTGATCCTGTCCTGAAGAAGCCGGCTTGGCGGGGTCTCTGGAGCAGAGATAGAGGAGGAAGATCTGCCAGATACCGATACTGTCGCTCGTCCTGGAGATCCTTCGTTACCACGGCCAGATTCTCTTCGAAATGTTTGGTCATATTGTATCCCAGTCGAGGAGGAGGAGGAGGAGGAGGAGGAGGAGGAGGAGGAGGAGGAGGAGGAGGAGGAGGGAGGAGGAGAAACGGGGAGGAGGAGGGGAGGAGGAGGAGGAGAAAGTAGAGGAGAAGCAGCCAGTCGCTGTACCTGGGCTCAACTGCCTACCAGCTACAGATACTATTGTTTTACGTGACCAGTTAAAACACCGAAAGGTAGACATGGCAGTCACACTACAGTCCTACATCAATGTGGTCCCCCGCGACACTACCAACGACACACCAACGACACCATCTACACCACCAGCGACTCATCGTCGCTGGGCGACACTTAATGGATACATATCCACAAGGGTCTACGACACCACGTACGACAACCAGACCGAGACAGAACATGTCTGGGGACTACATCGGGGACTACTACAACCAGACCGAGACAGAACATGTCTGGGAGCCACGTTCTTGGGAATACATCGGTGGCGTGTACTCCATCGGCCAGAGGTCGGGAACCATACATGATGCAGAATGCCCTCTGACTCCGCTGAGGCACGGCTTTCTCATACTCAATTGCATCGTCTCCAACACAACACCCAGTGCTCAACAGCCGCCGTCTCCAGCACAACACTCAGTACTCAATATCACCCCGCTGCAATAGAGAGAATCCTTAGAAATTGTATTCACATCCCGATCCCTACGCCCGCCGCCGGCCCGCCGCCCCCCCGCCCGCCCGCCGTGCTTCCGTGTTCAATACAAAACCCGTACTGCGCAGCATCCGTCTTCAACACAACAACTGGTACTCCACAGCCTCCGTCTCCAACACAAAACCAAGTGTTCAACAGCCTCCCGTTGCAAGAGAGGGTCCTTAGGAGTTCCCTTGGAAACCCGATCCGCCCGCCCGCCGCCCGCCGTCCACCTCGTATTCAACAGCATCCCGCTGCAAGAGAGCATCCTTAGAATTTCTACTAAGATTCCGATCCGCCCGCCGCCGGCCCGCCGCCCGCCGCCGTGCTTCCGTGCACACCCGGTACTCAACACAACATGTGGTATTGAACAGCCTCCGTCTCCAACACAGCACCCAGTGTTCAACAGCATCCGACTGCAAGGGAGGATCCTTAGGGGTTCTATTGAGATCCGCCTGCCCGCCGCCGGACCGCCCGCCCGCCGCCCGCCCGCCGTGCTTCCGTGTTCAACACGTTCTAACACCGGGTATTGATCATCCATCTCCAACACGACACCCAGTAGTCAACAGCCTCCGTCTCCAGCGCGACACCGTTGCAGGAGAGAGTCCTCAGAAGTTCGATTGAAAACCCGATCCGCCCGCCCGCCGCCAGCTGTCCGCTCGCCCGCCGCCCGCCCATCGCCCACCCCCCGCCGCCCGCCCCCCGCCGCCCGCCCCCCGCGCTTCCGTGTTCAGCACAAGACCCAGTACGCAAAAACATAAGTTTCCAACACAAGCCTCGCTTTTCTCAGGAGGGGAAACAACACATAGACACAATTCATCGGCGATTCCCAGAAAATATAGGAAAATATGGGACGTGGGGGGGAAGACAAAAACTCAGAAAATATGGGAAAACATGGGGGATATCTTTATTTGTGTGTATTTATTTGTGTGTCCCAGTTCCCCTTCATACTCCACAGCCTTCGTCTCCAAGACAGCACTCGGTACTCGACAGCAGCCCGCTGCTCGAGAGAACCCTTTGGGCGTCTTGTGAACATCCAGATCCGCCCGCCCGCCGCGGGCCCGGCGCCCGCCGCCCGCCCGCCGCGCTTCCGCGTCGAGCATACCACGCCGTATTCCACAGCATCCTTCCTCAACGCAACGCCCAGGACTCAACAGCTTTCGTCTCTAACACAACACTCAGTGCTCCACAGCATCTCGCTGCGAGCGAGAATCCTTATGCTTTTTTGTTCTTTTGAAAAAAAAAAAAACACCGAATGCTCGACAGCATCCGTCTTCAACACAACACCCGGAATATTCAGCAGCCTCCGTCTCCAAGGCAACGCTCAGGAGTCAACAGCGCACCGCTGCAAGGGAGAATCCTTGGGAGTTTTATTGAAGTCCTGATCCGCCCGTGTGCCGCCGGCCCGCTGCCCAGCAGCCCGCCGCTCGTCCGCCGTGCTTCTGTGTTCAACACAGCACCCTCTCTGCTTCCGTGTTGAACACAACATTCAGTACTCAACATCACCCGTCTCCCTCACAACACAACCCCCAACCCCGCTTGAACTTCTTTGAGAAGCCATCTTGAGGGTTTCGGAAGGGAGAGCCCCCAAACCCACCTGAACTCCTCTGAAACGATCCCTTGAGGAGGTTCTCGGGGAGGGGAAACCCGCCAACTCCTTACCCCCCAAAAAACTGTCTTCCGAAGGGGGTTCCGACGGACAAACTCACCAAACCTTCCAATTTCCCCCAACAACCTTGCCTGAGGGGGGGGGGTCCGGGGAGAGGAACTCGCATGATAAAACAAAATGACACGGATCGTGCCACCCCAGCACGCGCGCAAAGGGCGTTCGAACGATTTCGACATGCGCGCGCGCGAGGCCCGTTTGGTAGCATTTCATGATAATGTTGGCAGACCAATGGTTTTCTTAAGAATTCGCAAGAGCGCGCACGCTTTTGTTGAACATCCGTGTTGCGAAGCCATGTGTTTTTGTATGTTTTTTGGGCACTCGATTTTGAAATCGTTCCGGAATCGAATGTAGGATTTGGGCACGCGCGCGTGACGACGCGCACGCGTGCATTTCGTCCCATTTTTTGCAAGGGATTCTCGCGATGGCACGCGCGCAGGCGCGTTCGAACGATTTCGGCACGCTCGCGCGCGAAGCCCGTTTGGTAGCATGTTCTTGAACATGTTGAAAAACCCGCTTCCAAAAAAATCGCAAGAGCGCGCGCACTGTGTTGTTGAACATCCGTGCTGCGATTTTTTTCTTAAAAAAAGTGTTTGTACACTCGATTTTGAAATCCTTCTGAAACCACGCGTTTTTGAAAGATTTCGGCATGCGCGCACGACGACGCGCGCGTGTGCACTACTTCGTCACATTTTTCAAGAGGGATTCTTGCAAACTTATGGTTTTCCCTACCTAGACTCTGTCTAGAAGGGTTCTTACTCTCTTAGCTTAAAGGGGCGGGCAGTGTAAAGCGCCCCGGGCGGTTCCCCCAGTCCCCGCCCCGCGGTTCCCCCAGTCGCGCCCCCTGGGTTCACCCAGCTTAGCTTAGCTTAGCTTAGCTTAACTTAGCTTAGCTTTAGTTTAGTTTAACTTAGCTTAGCTTAGCTTAGCTTAGCTTAGCTTGGCTTATCTCATCTTAACTTAGCTTAACTTAACTTTGCCTAGCCTAGCCTAGCCTAGCTTAGCTTAACTTAGATTAGCCTAGTTTAGCTTAGCTTAACCTGTCTCATCTTAGCTTAGCTTAGTTTAACTTAGCACAGCTTAGCTTGGCTTAGCTTAGCCTAAACTAGGTGAGCCTAACTTAGCATAGCTCATCTTAGCTTAGCTTACCTTAGCTTAACGCAGCATTTGCACATCATATCCTAGCACACCATAACCAAGCATAGCATAGCATAGCATAGCATAGCCCATCATATCATAGCAAAACAACAAACACATAACAACAACGCAACAACAACGCAACATCAACAGCAAACGCAAACACACAAGCAAAGGCAAAGGCACAAACAAAGGCAAGAGCAACAGCAAAGGCAATGCACACCAAAAGCAACACCAATGCGAACATGTAGATGTATATGTAGACGTAGTGTAGGTGTAGATGTGGATGTAGGTGTAGATGTAGATGTAGGTGTCGATGTAGGTGTAGATGTAGATGTAGATGTGAGTCTAGCTGCTGATGTTGATGTAGATGTAGATGCAGGTGTAGATGTAAATGTAGCCGTCGGTGTAGATGTAGATGTTGCTTTCCTAAATGCTCCAACTCCTAGGTAGGGTCGCACTGGGATACTTTTATAAACGAGCGTGCGCGCACAGTATTTTTGTTGCAAGGGAACCGAGGGGGGGACGATACCGGCCTGGTTCGGATAGTATGAATTCACAGGTCGGGTGGACATTGGGTCAGAATCATTTGTGTTTTACATCTGTTCCCGGTGAGTGTACAAGTCCGCGGAGGGGAGGGTGGTTTTAAAGAAGAGAGAATTCACCATCCCCCCTAACCCTTCAAACAAAAAACACCTGAGGGGCGGGTCTGGGGGGATCCCCCCCTTGACCCTTCCAAAAAAACATCTCCTCAGGGGGGGGGGGCGGGGGGAATTCTTTCCCTTAGACCCTTCCAGAAACCCTCGTATGGGGGGTCCTGAGGGAAAACGCACCAACACCCCCTGACCACCCCCCCAGAAACCTTTCCTAATGACTGTTTCCTGAGGGGGGGGGAACTCTCCAATTGCCAGTGACACTGTCCAGAACTTACCCTGAGGGGGAGTTCCGTGTGGGGGGGGAATCGGGGAATCTACCCCCCCCACCTTTGGAAACAATTTCCTCTGAAGGGGGGGTCTTCGGGGGAGCACTTACCACCCCCCCCTTCAGCCCACCAAAATCTTCTCTTGAGGGGGGTCTTGGAGTGATCTCCCACCGACCCCTCCTGACTACTCCAAACGCTATCTTTGATCGTGGGCTCCGGGGGGGACCTTCCCCCTTCGTGCACCAGTTTAAATTTCCCCCTGGAGGGGGGTGTTTGGGTGGACCACCTCCCGACCCTTCCAAAAACCACCCCTGAGCCCCCCCCCCTGACCCACCAAAAAACTGTCCCTTCCCTGAGGGGGGGGGGGGTCCTGGTGGGAGAACCCACGACCCCCTTGACCTCACCAAAGAACTTCCGTGAGGGGGGGAGTCCAGGAGGGACCCCCCCACGCAAAATCATCCCGATGAGGGGTTTTGGAGGACCCCTCCCCTAACCTCCAACCCTTTCCCATAATCCAAAGCCCTCCCTGAGAGGGGGTTCCTGGGGGGAGCCCCCTCCTAACCCTCCCCAAACTTTCCCCCCGTGCAGGAAGGGGTTCCTGGGGTGGAAACCCGCCACCACCCCCCAACCTCTGCAAGAACCAATCCTGAAGAGGGCTCCCTGGGGGGAAAAACCCCTTGACCCCGCCTGAATCCCGCCCAGAACCCTCTCAGGGGGGGGGGGGGTCCTGAGGGGATGCACCCCTCCTCCTAACGCCCCCACGCCCCCACACGTTGGAGGGGGATCCAGGGAGGCTTCCGGGACTAACGCCCCGGACCCCCACCAAAGCCGACCCAAACCTCCCCCCCCCCCCCCCCCCCAGCGACAACCCTTTTCGAGGGAGGTTCACGGAAGGTTTTCCAGGGGGGCTCGCGTCGCCAGTGGGCATCGCGTCCGCTTCTGGGTGGCCCCGCCGCTCACCCTGTTCCTTGTTCAGCCTCCCTCCATGTCCAGGTTCTGGTATATCGGATGATTCCTCGGTGGCGTCCAGGCCCCCCACCTCGCCGAGCTAGCGCGGGCCCGCGACCGCGCGCGGGCACGCGTGCGGCGCGGCGATGGGGCAGGGATAGCCGCTCGGGTTTTGCGCAGCAGCAGCAGGAACAACGCCAGCAGGAGGAGGAGGAGGAGGAGGAGGGAGGAAGAGGAGGAGGAGGAGGAGGTGGACCAGTGTAAGCCCAGGACTCATCAACGATGTTGGAATCTACCTTTTCGTCTGAGCTCCCTCTTCACATACCTCATACAGGGGTTCATTTCCACTGCGGGAACTGCCTCGTTGGGAGACAACCGCGTGAAGACCCCGAAGCATGCCAAAACACATCGGGATTCCAACGCCACGGATCAACCTGACTGTTAGGTCTTGACGATCCTGTCCTGTGCCGGAACACCGTTCTTGGGAATTGCTTCAACACCGCGAGCCAATGTAATTGTTGCACCCTTGCAATCCTTAATCCTTCCGAACACCAGTTCTGGTACGTTGACCATGGGTTTAAGAAGCGAGTGTGCGCGGCGCTGCGGCGAGAGCCACGTTTTGAAAACGAGCCGTCCTCAATCCGTGAAGCTCTTGCAGTTTTGAAGACGAATGTGCGCGGCGCTAAGGCGAACAAAACCGAACCGCCCTCAATCCGTGAAGCCCTTGCAGTTTGTTTAAAGCGAATGTGCGCGGCGCTATAACGATAGCCACATGTTGAAAGCCTCCTGCCCTCAATCCGTGTAGCTCTTGCAAAATTCGAACACGAAAGTGCGTGGCGCTAGGGCGGGAGCCACATTTTGAAAACCACCCGCCCTCCATTTGTGAAACGGTTGTCAATATTTATGATTCAGCGTCATCGCTGGTGAGGAAGTCTCAGGCGAAGCGGTCGGCCCGCCCTTTCGACCGGCCTCGGGGTGCGACAGGGAGAAAAATAATGGAAGAGGAGGAGGAGGCGGAGGAGGAGGAGGAGGAGGAGGAGGAGGAGGAGGAGGAGGAGGAGCGGGAGCAGCGGGGGGAGAGATCCTGCTGGGCAGCGGCCAGAAGATGGCCCGACAGCGGCAGGCGGCTGCCGCGCGTGCGCGGGCGGCCGAGGCGGAGCTGTGCGTGGTGTGCTTCGAGTCGTCGCAGGAGGTCGCCCCGGCGCCCCCGAATTCCAGGCCGCCCAAGAGGAGGATGGGGCCAGAGTAGGAAGCATGATCGAGGGCGCGCATCTGTTTTTTATTGTCTTTTTGGATTAGGTGGACCTCTTGGGGATCTCCGGCGGCTTCGGGGGGCCTCTGGAGGCCTCTGCCGTGGGGACCTCTGGGGGCCTCGGTGGATGCGGTCGGAGGATTGCGCCGCATTGCCAGTGCATCGGCGATGATGTGGCGCGATCCAGGGCACCTCCCGTCGTCGCCGATGCCGTGCGATCCTCCGACCCCGCCTGCAGTAGGCACGTCTAGCAAGAAACCGGCCTGCCCGCAGGTGCCCAAGAAAGTTTCTCAGTCCCCCGATGGCCCTCGGGACCCATAAGAGTCGGGAGGGGAAAGAACACACAGACACAATGAATCGTCGACTCCCAGGAACATCTGGACAATATGAGAATTTTGGTGGAAGACGAAAATCCCCCAAAAATGGAATCCTGTGATTTGTGTGTATTCTCTTGCCCAGGGTGGATTGTCTAGAGCTCCGACCACTTTATTTCGGCACGGCACCCCCTCCACCACCCACACATTCCAACAGTCAGCGCGCCCCTCCGCCCCGACCCCTTTATTTCGGCACAGCACACCCCTCCGCCCCGACCCCTTTGTTTCGGCACGGCACACCCCCTCCACACCTCCTCCGCATCCCCCCACCCACCAGCCAGCGCGCCCCTCCGCCCCGACCCCTTTAGTTCGGCACGGCATACCCCTCCGCCTCGACCCATTTATTTCGGCACGGCGCACCGCCTCCACATCCCACCCACCAGCCAGCGCGCCCCTCCGCGCCGACCCCTTTATTTCGGCACGGCACACCCCTCCGTCCCGACCCCTTTATTTCGGCACGGCACACCGCCTCCGCATCTCCCCACCCACCAGCCAGCGCGCCCCTCCGCCCCGACCCCTTTATTTCGGCACGGCCCCCCCCGCCCCCCCACCCACCAGCCAGCGCGCCGACCCCTTTATTTCGCACCCCTCCGCCCCGACCCCTTTATTTCGGCACGGCACACCCCTCCGCCCCGACCTTTTTATTTCGGCACGGCACACCCCCTCCCCCCCCCGCCCACAGCCACCCCTCTTCGGACCCTTTTATTTCGGCACGGCACACCGCCTCCGCATCCCCCCACCCACCAGCCAGCGCGCCCCTCCGCCCCGACCCCTTTATTTCGGCACGGCACACCCCCCCCGACCCCTTTATTTCGGCACGGCACACCGACCCTTTATTTCGGCACGGCATCCCCTCCGCCTCCCCCCACCCACCAGCCAGCGCGCCCCTCCGCCCCGACCCCTTTATTTCGGCACGGCCCCCCCCTCCCCCGCATCCCCCCAATTACCAGCCAGCGCACTCCCTCCGCGCCGCTACCCCCTTATTTCGGCACGTTCCCCACCTTCTCCCCGCGCGCCCTCCGCCCCGACCACTTTATGTCGGCACAGCCCCCCCCCCCCCCGCATCCCCCCACCCACCAGCCAGCGCGCCCCCCTCCGCCCCAGCCCTTTTATTTCGGCACGGCACCGCCCCCCCGCATCCCGCGCACCTCCAGCCAGCGCGCAACCTCCGCCCGCGCCCTCTTCGCACCCCCCAGCCCGCCAGCCAGCGCGCTCCTTCCAACCCGACCGTTTTGTTTCGGCACAGCGCCCCGCCCTGACCTATATTTCGGCATGGCATCGCCCCCCCCATCCTGAGCGCCCCCTCCGCATCACCCCACCCACCAGCCAACGTGCCCCCTGCGCCCCGACCCCTTTATTTCGGGACGGCACCGCCCCTCCACCCCGAGTGCCCACTCCATCGTCCCATCCACCAGCCAGCGTTCCCTCTCCGCCCCGACTCCTTCCTTTCTGTGCAAGAGTCATGGCATGCGTGCCGCTTGATTATTTATGTGTGTCCCTGGGTCCCTTGAAAAGCGTTGGGGCACCTCGGGAAGCTCAGGGCTCGACGACGAACATGCCATCACCGTAGATTTTGGTAGAACAGAACGCCTTCTCGCATGTGCCTGCGCGCTCTGGAATGCCGGCTCGCCCCGAGGGGGTCTTCGAAACCTATCAGGCATATCCTCCTCCGTCGAAGAAGAAAAATACACCATAAACATAAATTTCTGGTGCTTCGCACGGATTTCTTGCATCCGCGCTGGGCCCCCCCGGCGGCGCCTCCGGCGCCGCCACTGGCGCGCTCCGCGCGCCAGGGTGGGGGGGGGGGGGGTCAAGCGCAGATCCACGAAACCCGCGCTGAACGCCAAAAGTTGATGTTCATGGCGTTTTTTCTTTTCTCCGTCAAATCCAAAGTCAGGAGGGGGAAAAACACACAGACACACTGAACCGTCGACCCCCGGGAAAATATGGGAAGATCTGGGAATTGGGGGGGAAGACTAGAGCCCAGAAGATATGGGAACATTTGGGGAATCCGGGCATTCGGTGTACAGTGCCGTTTTTATTGCATGCTCCGCGTGCGGATCATGTATTAAAGATGCAGGGGTTTAGTACTGAGAACAACGATGAGTTCATGCATGAACTTATTCATAAATGAATCATGGATTAAACATCCTATTGCTTTGTTTTTAAAAAATCCTAGGTATGAAAAACCTGCCCTGCAGTCATTTGTGTGTCCCTGGGCCCCTTCACACGGGGCGCCTGCGGCAGGGACCGACGCCGCCTCGTCCCCTCGGCGGCCGCGCCTCGCCGCGGCCTGCCCCCCGGGGGCCTCGGCACCACGCCGCCGCGAGCGGCCTCCCGAGGCCCGCCCCGTCGCCGGGCAGCTGCCCCGCCCGTCCGCGCTCTGCCCGGCACGCCAGGCTGCCAGAGGAGGAGCATCCGCTGTTGATCGGGGGCGGCAAAGAGGGGGTGATGACTAGGGGGGGGGACATCCTGGCGGGGGCCACGACATTGCCCCAGGTTTCATGGCGCCTCTTCTTACTTCATTACGTCCCTGGCCCCCCCGCTGGGCCGCGCACGTGCCGCCGGTCATGATTTGCACCCCCCCCTCTTGGACACCCCCCTCTTGGCCGCTCCCGACTTGACCTGGTACGTGACGTTGGCCGAGGACGCCAACTTGGTCAGGAAGCCCGTTGCAGTCCAGTCCTTCGATGGCTTCGCCCTGGTCGACAAGGTCGGGGTCGCCATGCAGGGCGCCAGCATGTGTCTGATCAGGGCAGCTGGCCCTGGCAACCTTCCGCTGGAGTTTGAGTGCGACGCGCGGGCGCTGGAGATCCATAGTCGCCCTTGCGGCGGGCGGCATCGTCACTTCACCGAGGCCACCCGCCCCGTCACCAGCACGACGTGGCCCGAGTGGCCCATCCTGGGCCGGATGACCGCGGGGTGGTGCTTGGAGTTCTTGGCGCGCCAGGACCAGCACCCGCGCGTGCGGCATACGAAGTGGGTGCACGAGCGCCGGCTCGAGGCGACTGACGAGGGCGTGGGGGGCCGCGACCCCGCCATGAGGGTGGTGGAGCTCGGGCTCAGTTTCGACCAGCTCGACCTTGGCGAGCTGGCGTCCTTCGAGCTGCTGCTCCGCAGGGCCCAGATGACCGAGTGGCGCCATCGAGACCGGCTCGCAGCCGTCGCTGGTGACGAACTGATGAGGGAGAGCCATTTGCACTTCGGGACGGGCGAGACCCGTGGCCTCGTCATGGTCGCCCCGTCCCTGGTCGACCACATCAATCAGGATGTGCACATGGAGGCGCATATCCTCAAGGAGCACCGCAAGGCCAAGGAGCAGCGCCTCCTTTCACGGGTTACCGGCAGTGGTGTCGGGAGTTCGAAGGCCGAGCTGCAGCAGAAGGTTCACAAGCAGGCCGCGGAGCTGAAGAAGCTGCACGAGAAGGGGGCGAAGGACGGAGCCAGCCGCGGAGCCTGAAAACCCCACTGACGCCCCTTCTGGGGATCGCGCCGCGCGAGCTGCCGCCGCTTCTCGGCTTCGCGGCGGCGCGAGGTGCTGATGGCCGCGCTGGGCCGTCGAGAGCGGTGCGTTCCCGAGTGCGCCGCCGCCTGCGCGTCTCCGATTGGGTCGCCGACGCGGCCGAAAGCTTGAATGCCCAAGCATTTTTCCGTTTCACATGGGCAACAACGCAGCTTGAAATTTATGAAGTCCGTCATCGAGCAGGCGGGTCCACCTTTCTGCTCGCCCATGGCAGCCTGCGCGGAGCTGTGCGGGAGCAGGCCGGGGGTTACCTCAGAGGGGCATCCTGTCCCTGCCGCGGCGAGACGGCCGCTGCGACCCCAGCGCTGTCGGCGGGTGCTCTGGGAGAGACATTCGCCGCGCCGGTCGCCGACCCTTGCTAGCGACATCAACTTGCGCTATGACCGCAAGCCGGTGGCCGATGGTCGACAGGGGATGCTTTACGCAGTCCGTCTTGGACCTATACATCTCTGGCCTTATCAGAATCGGGGCCGACCGCAGTGCCGCGGTGGCCGTGTTCTGCTTGTTCAATAGCGGAAAGGAGCGCCTTCGTCTCCTCTTCGACACCCGCCGAGTCAACGCTCGTTCTCGTGTTCCGAACCATTCCCAGCTGTGCAGCGCAGCCGCGTGGGCAGCCCCACGCACCGAACCGTCATCCTTTTTGAACATGTCCCAAGCCGATATGTTGATAACGCCTTTTACCGGGTGAAGCTACCCGACTGGATGGACACGCATTTTTCGCTACCGAGCGTCCACCTGGACACGCTGCGCCAGCTCGCCGAGGCGTCCAGGGTGGGCATCGGGCTGCCTGACGGACGGCTTGGTTTTCCCTTCCTCCAGGAGCCGCCGATGGGCCGGTCGTGGAGCTTGTATTTTTGCCGGAAGCTCTTGGAGACGTCCGTGCTGATGTCAGGCATCGTGGCCAGCCCGCTGATCCAGGGCCGGCGCGCGCCCTTGCTGGCGCGGCGCAGCTCGTCCCAGCCCGGGGTGCACGTCGACGACGTTTGAGTCGTCGGGGGCGACGCCGACCGCCGCGTGGCCGTGTGCAAGGACGTGGTGACCACGCTGGGGGGCGCTGGCCTTGGGCGCAAGGGCGCCGCGGAGTTCCAGGCTGCGCGCGCCTTCGCTGGCATCGCGTTCGAGAGCCGAAGCGGACGAGTCGGTGTCAGCCCAGCCCGCATGTGGAATGCGCGCCTCGCCTGCCTCTTCGTGCCGGACAGTCGGTGCGCCGCCGGGGGCGAGATCCTGTCTCTGCTGGCCCACTTCACGTGGTCCGCTTTGCCGAGGCCGTCACTCCTCAGCATCTTCCGGCAGGCCTGCCCGGGTGGCCGGGCGCCGCTGGCTGCGACTGTGGAGCCGCGTGGAGCTGGAGCTGCTGCAGGCGGCTGTTATACTGGCGTTCGCCTACTCCGATTCGAAGAGGCCGAACAGCGCGTTCGTCTCTGTCTCGGGCGCCTCACGGGGGCCAGCAGGCTCTGGCGGCGGGAGCGACGTGGCGGGCCAGGCGCGGGCCAGCGATCTCGTGGAGCGCGCCGCCGCTTCCGCCGAGGCGTGGAGGTGCTCCGTGCCGGGCGCCATCGGAGCCTCGAGCTTGTCCTGGGCGCCCGGTCCAGCAGGCGCCGGGCGCGCGCTGGCTCGGCAGGCTTCGAGGGGGTCGCACGGGCCGCGATCGGCGACCCGTGCAGCTGGGGCGCCCGCTTTCACGGCGCGTTTCAGCGCGACGGGGACATCGCCGCCCTCTAAGGCGGAGCCGCGGTCATGGCCGCTCGCCACGCCGCGCGAAGTCGCAGCGCCGCGGGCATCGCCGGCGCCACTTCGCGTGCGTCGGCAACCTGGGCCTTGCGGTCGCTGTTGGACAAGGTCGCTCGTCATCGGTGGCGCTCAATCACATCGTGCAGCAGTTTTGCGCCATCTCTATTGTCGTTGACACCTCCATCATCTTGCGTTGGGCCCCCGCGGAGGGGGACCGGCCGGCGGGCCGTCTCGGCTCGGGCGTCATTTTACCTTGGGCGCCCGAGCTGACCCTCGTCATGCTTCGTATCTCAGATGCGCGGATGCAGCGGGCTCGGCGCCTTCGAGCAGGGCGCGGGTGCACTCGTCCGCCAGCGGTGTGTCCCAGACGGCGCGGCCTTGTAGCCAGAGCCCGACGACGATCGCGGTCATGGCGCTGCTGGGCAGGGGGCGCGCTGCACGGCGACCCCTTCCCATTCGGCGGCGTCGCGGGGGCGCGGCGCGTGGGCCCGGCGGCAGGCCGCCGCCGATGGCGAGGGTTGAGGCGCTCCGGCTGGCCAGAGCGAGGTCTCGCCGTGCTGCGCGCCGCGGCGACTGCGAGCGAGCTCGGGCCGAGTGGTCGCCGCCCTGCGGAGCCTGGAGGTCAGCGGCAGTCCTGGCTCGGCTCTACTGCGAGAAGGAGCACCTGAACTTTATGGCCTGGGCGTCTCGACCAGCGGAGTGGGCGCCGCCGACTCGACCTGTGCCCTGTGCTTCGATTTCCCGTTCTGGGAGGGGCGCGGCCGCGAGAATGGGGGGGGGCATGGCGCGCGCGGCGCTGAAGCACTGCAACCCGGGTCCGGGCCTGATTGCGACCGCGGCTCTGGAGCGCGCCTTGGCGGCGCTGCTGGATTCCCGCAAGCTGGCGAGGGGGGCGACCTGGGCGCCGATTGCGAGGGGGCCGCTGTTCGCCGCCGCGGGGGTCGCCCTGCGCCGCGGCTGGCGGCTCTTCGCCGGCGCCCTGGCCTTCAGCTGGGACGCGCTGATCCGTCTGCCGAGTGAGCTAGTGGGCATGGCGAGGCTCGCGCTCGTCGCGCCCGCGCCCCGATTGGCGGTCGGTCTGCGGCCTCTTGCTGCTCCCGGAGGAGCTCGGCCTGGTCAGCAATGCCCATGGGCACGACGAGGGCGTCGTGCTGTCGGGCGCCGCGTCCCAGGCCCTCGGCCCGGCGTTGGCGGCGCTTCGTCGTTCTCGTCTGGGCGGGCAGCCGCTGCGAGGCTTCAGCGTGGCGGTTCTCAACGCGAAGTTCAGGGCCGTGTTCGAGCAGCTGGGGCGCTGGGCTTGCCACCCCTGCCGGGCGCGACATGGCGGGGCGTCGTGCTGCGCGGCCGTGCTGGGCGAGGAGCTCGCGGACATATAGGGCATGCTCCTCCGCAGGTCGGAGAATTCAACCAAGCGGCGCGCCGGGCACGTCAGGTACTTCGTTGAGGTCCGCCAGTTCAGCCCCGGCATCGTCGTCGAGTTCGGGCAGGCAGCGGGCGCGAACCTCGCCGAGATCTTGTGCGGGCGGGCGCCGTTTCCACCAGAGCTGGCGCGGCGGCGACGCGGGCGGCGCGACGGGGCCCATGACCGACGCCGCCGCGCGGCGCCACTGGCGGACCGCCTTGCGCGCCGCCCTGTCCACCTCTCGCAATCATCAAGAGTCTTCAGCGGCATTGGCAAGGTCGCGAGCTGGCTGGAGCGGCGCTCTGACTACCCGGCCTTGCGGGCCGATGTCGCCGCCCACCCCGCTTTCGACCTGTCACGGCGCGTCTGCGGGTGCATCGTGGGAGGCTGGCTTCGCTCACGTGTCGTGCGCGGCGTCATGTGCGCGCTGCCGTGCAGCGCCTGGTCTCAGGCCTCTCGCCATTTTTATCGCGCCCTCAGGCTTTGAACGGGCTCCCGGATTGGGAACGCAGTTGTCAGGCTGCGGATCGGCAGTGACTTTTTTTCACTTTGCAATGAGATTTGGTTTCGAGTGCGCCATCCTCGGGGTCCCCCTTGTGTTGGAGAGCCCTCGGAAACAATGTCGTGGTCGCACCCTCGCATGTTGCAGCTGTCGGGCCTCCCATGTAAAGATGCCGATGCTGATTTTTGCCAGCGCGGTAACTGATGGCAAGAGTCTGCTCGCTTCATTGGGCGGTGTTGTTGCAAGCCGCCTCAGCCGCTCCTCGGAAGATGCTCGGGCCGAGGCGGCGTCTGCAACAGGACATGCCTGAATCGTATTTCTCTGGACGGGGGCAGCCCGAGGGGGAAGCGTTGGACAGCCATCGCCGAGCAATGCCCCTCCTTGGTTGCCGCCGCCGCCGGCCTCTGGGTGCGCCGATCCGCCGGACGTATCTTGTCAGCTCATCTTTTTTCCGCTTGTCAGCTAAGCGAATGCTGAATGGGGCGGCGGCTGCCAGGCAGCCTGTATAGATTCTGGATATCGTTTGTTCGCTCTCGGCGGCCTCGAAGCTGGCCCGCCCCGAGCCCGTGTGTTCTCAACAAACTTGCGTTCTGGCAGATATGCAGCGGGCAAGTGCAGTGACCCGTTTTCCAAACACGCTTGCACGCCGAATTTGCTCAGCCGCCTGCCTCGGAATCTTGTTGTATTCCGTGGCCGTTTTGCTCAAGTCCTCCATCCGCCCCTTTACCTCCTCTTTTCACCATTGTGTTTGGAAATTGTTTGTTCGCTCTCAGCGGCCTCGAAGGTGGCCTGCCTCGAGCTCCAGGTAATTTGCCCGTGTTCTCAACAAAGCTGCGTCCTGGCGGAACAGAGGGCACCTGCACAGATATATTCAAAGGAGTGTGTACTCACATATTGGTCAAAGATGCACGCGCCAATATCTAATCGGAGGTTCGGGGGTGAGGTAGAAGTGGCACGATCCATCACCAGGAAATTGGTTTTGGTTTCGAGTCGTGCGCGCGGGCGGTCGAGGCGGAGCTGCGTGGGCGGGCGAGCGGAATGAGCTTGCCATTGCTAGGGCGAAACCGGGCCAACTGTTGCTTCCCGTCCTCTCGGTTGGTTGGCGGTGTTTCGGGGGTGTCCCGCCGGTTGGCTGTTTTTGGTTTGGGGGTGTTCCGATGGTGTCCCGATGGTGTACCTATGGTGTCCACATGGTGTCCATATGGTGCCCCGATGGCGTCTCGATGGCGTCCCGATGGTGTCCCGATGGGTATCCCGATGGTGTCCCGATGGTGTTTCCATGGTGTTCCGATGATTGTCCCTTAAGATGGCTCGATCGATGGATCGTGATATCGATGGATCGTGAAACATATCGATAGCTTGATCGATGGATAGGTAGATCGTGGGAATGATCGGGTATGGACAGTTAGACATATTGATAGTGGGACGGCTACATTGATATATGACCGCAGGTGATACAGAAACCGATAGTGAGATAGTGCGCTCGATCGTAAGACCAACTTATCCACAGTGAGATCGATATTGATATTCACAAACACATAGTGTTATCAATAGTGAGATCGATAGATGGTGAAACCGATAGCGGAACCGATAGTGAGATCGATAGTGAGACCGATCGTGAAACCGATAGTTTAATCGATAAACATATAGTGTATCAATAGTGCGGTCTATGGTGAGATCGATAGTGAGATCTATAGTGAGGCCGATTGTGATATCGATCGACAAGTAGTGGACGGGTGGACACTAATGGTGTCCCGATGGTGTTCTGATGGTGTCACGGTAGTGTCTCGATGGTGGCATGTGTTTGTTCCCAGGGTGTTTCGATGGTGTCCCATCGCAGTTGTCATCAGTTGGTTCCCCCCCACAATCGCCGACACAACTTCCTTGTCACCCGAAGGGTGGTCGGTTCGGTATGATCTCAGAATTTCTGATGGTTTCGTTTCAACAGCGAGTGTGCAATGTTTTGTACATCGTTCTACGCCCCCCCCGCCTCCCTCGGACCCCCCCCCGACCCACCCCTCCAACAAGCCCAACTCCCCGTCGCGGGGATTTGCCATGGGCACTCGGCCCCAAAAGATAAGAAGTTTCCCAGTCCCCCCCAGCGGACTTTCGTTGGACCTCGCTGGATCTTGTGCTGCTCAGGTCGTCAAGCTGCCCTGCGACTGCAAGGTGGCGTACTGTGCCCAGTGCTGGGACCGCTGCTTGGAGGGGCTCGGGCGCACGGAGCAGAAGCACGCAGTCTCGGTATTGCTCCTGCCTCCTGGCTTCTGCCTCCATGCTCCTGCCTTCTACCTCATGGCTCCTGCCTCCTCCTCCTCCTGCCTCCCCCTCCTCCTCCTCCTGACTCCTCCTTCTCTTCCTCCTCCTCCTCCTCCCTTTCCTTCTCCAGTGGATCTTTGCAGGCAGGAGCGCTGCGACGCACTCGCCCTCCTCGTCTTCGCGCGGGGCTTGTGTTTGTGTGTGTGTGCCCTCCCCTCCGTAACCATTTTGGCCCAAGCCTTCTTGGCTCAAGTCCATACCCACTTGGGGGATTGGACTTGAGGTAGCCGTGGGCTCGAGGGCCCCGCCCCAGGAGTGTACGGCGGCGCGCCCAGCGCTCGGGAAACGCGGGGCATGGCATGCCCCGGAGGCGCAGGAGTGGCGATGCCGCCGCTCCCCATGGTGCACCGGCTGCTGCCGGGGCTGGCTCGCAGTGCTGATCCCGACCATCGCCGCCGTGGATCGGAAGCTGGGCGAGGGCTGCTAAAACCGTGGCTGCTAAAGCGGCCCTCCCGGAAGGAAGAAACAACTTCCCGGAATGAGGCGCGGCCGGCGCGCGAAACAGTCAACGGGCTTCTTCCCGGAAGGACGACGACAACTTCCCGGAGGTCGAGTTGATTTTGGCAGCCACGGATTTAGCAGCCCTCGCCCGGCTTCCCAGTGGACCCGTCGCCGGGGCTTTTGTCGGCGCGCCGGCGGGCGCAGCCGGGCCCGGCGGCCTGATCCTCGCGGCGCCGGCGCTCGCACCGTGGCGCCGCAGCCCGGGCATGAGCCGACGGCGCCCGTCGCCAGCGCCCGGCCGGCGCCAGCACCGCCGCCGCTGCCGGCGCGGCTGCGGAGCGTCGCGCGGGCTCCAGGGCTCGGAGGCGACGATAGGTACGAATAGCCCAGGGGAGAGCAATACATGTATCCGGGGGCGCCGATGATTAATGTCTTCGAAAAGGCTCCCCGTCGAATACGTATGGGCTGCGTATTCGCCCTTATCGTCGCCGCCGAAGGGCGTCCGCGGCTCGATCCCGCCACGAGTATTCCGGCGCGTCGGCAACAGGGGAGAGCGAGTCGGAGGCGGAGGGGGCGGCGCCGCTGGTGGCCGCGCTGCCAGGTGGCCGCGCCGCCTGCAGGGCCTGAGAGCCCTCGGGCGCCAGCGGCGCCTCCGACGGCGGCAGCGGCGCCCCCGACGGCGGTGGCGCCAGCTGCTCCGCCGGAAGCAGCGCCAGCCGCTACCCACGGAGGCGTCGGCGAGGCCGGCAGCGCGAGCGGCCACGGCATCGACCACGCGCAGTTGATCGCGGCGGCCTCGAGGGTTCCGGGCCACGGCGGCCCCGGAAGGCGTCTCCCTTCGGTGGACGTGAGCGGGCGCTCAGGTCGGGAGGCGCGACGCCTCCAGGCAGCAGGTCTTCGTCATCATGACACGGGGCTCGGAACACAGGCCGCTGGGCGGAGGCGAGCGATGGCGCCAGGCCTGCAGCGAGGCGCCGGCGGGTCCTGGCAGTGCCGTGGTGGCGATGCCTCCTCGGCAGGCCGTGCTCAGTACCCTGACCTTCAGAGAGCTATTTTCTAGCACGGGAGGCCTAAACACATAAAAAACGAAACGAAACAGCCCAAAACCAAGACATAGAATAGCTCTGGGATAGGTTTGTAAGTCGCGTGCTATTTTTTAGCTCTCCTGGAATGTTATAGGGGCGGCTCCAGTTTCGGCCGCCCCCGGGAGGCGTCGTCGTCAGTCGATCGTGCGCTCGCGACGGCCGCGCTCGCCCAGAGCGACGGCCCTCCTGCGCCCAGGGGATAGCAGGTGGGCAGCGCCCCCGCGGAGTGGCGGCAGCTCGCGCTTCCTTCAGGAGGGAAAAATACACACAGAATCGTCGATCCCCCAGAAAATATGGGAAAATATGGGAAGTGGGGGGGAAGACAAAAACCCAGAAAATATGTGAACATATGGGGAATCTTTTTATTTGTGTGTATTTATTTGTGTGTCCCAGGGCCCCTTCATTCCTGCCTCCTGTTGCTGCGTCCGCCCCAGCCTGGCCCGCCGCTGGGGCTGGAGATGAGAGCGCCGTCGAGGTGAGACCTTCCGGCTCCGCAGCTCCGCAGTCGGAGATCGATGGGGCGCAGGCTTGCCCCCAGCGGTGGCGCGGTTGGGACCCCGCCACTGCGGCGCCCGCTTCCAGGGTGCCGCCTGCGGAGGCGGCCCCGGCAGCCGAGGCCCCCCAGGGCGCCTTGGGCGACGTCGACGGAGCGGCCGGCGACGCGACGGCGGCGGCAGCGCTTCAGGGCAGCATAATTAGGCGCCGGCGCTGCCGACGGCGCGGCGGCGGCGGCGGCGCGGCTGCCAGTGCGCTTCCGAGCGCTGCCGGAGCGGCAGCCCGCGACGGGAGGGCTCCCCTGCGCGCGGGGGCCGGCGACCTTTCCGGAAGCCGCTGCAGCAGGAGGGTGGCCGCCGGAGGCTTCGCCCAGCAGCGCTGCGCGGTGGTCTGGTAGGTATAGTCAGATGGGGGGCCTCGCGGCTGCGGCGGCTGGGAAGAGGGGGCCCCCGGCCGCCTTCCCACCTGGGGCGTGGCTGGCAGCGCGCGCGCCGCGGGGCCCCTCGGATGCCCCTATAGGTTGGGCGCGGGCGAGTTCGACATCGAGCTCGCTCACGACGTCCTCCCCTGACCTTCCATGAGGGCTAAGAAATAGCACGCGACTTAAAAAACCTATCCCATAGAGCTATTCTGTGTCTTGGTTTTAGGCTGTTTCCTTCCGCTTTTGAGGTTTCTAGGCCTCCCGTGCTAAAAAATAGCTCCCTGGAAGGTCAGGGTCGGGCAGCACCCTCGCCTCCTTCTGGGGCGCCCCCGGCGGAGGTTGCAAGCGGGGCGCTCCCGGTCGCGGCGCAGGCTCGGGCGGGGCTCGGCGCGGCTGCCGGCGCGGCCGAGGCTGGGGGCGCCAGCGCCGCCCTCGAGTCGCTCCCCCACTCCCGCCGGTCGCGTCTGCCTCCTCCTCCTCCTCCTCCTCCTCGGCTCGGGGGCCCCCAAGCAGTGTGGTGACCACACCGTGCGGTGAGTCGGTGGGGATTCGGGGTCACCGCACGCTTCTGGGACTGGGGTCGTTCTCCGAGGACGCCGCGGGCGACGGGGGCCTCCGAGGCCCCGAGACCGTGCGGTAAAGGGACCGTGCGGTGACGTCTTGTGGGACTTCGAGGTCCGCACGGCCTGTCACCGCGCCGTCTCGGGACTCCCTCCTGGGGCGTCGCCACCGGTGCAGGCCCAGGAGCCAGCCGCCTGGGTCGCTCCCAGCGGAGGTCGGCCCCCCGCTGGGCCCGGCCGACGCGGCGGCGCTGCGGGCAGGCCCTCGGGTGGCTCCCCTCGGAGGTGCCGCTCGGCCCTCGTGGGCGGCGCGGCCGCCGGGGCCGGCCCTCCCCACCGCGGGCGCGGCCCCGCGGGCGGAGGCGGTCGTTTCTTCTTCGGCTCACGGGGTCGCTTTGGAGCCATCTTCGGTTCGCCGTGATGGCATGTTCGGGTCATGGACAGGGAAGGAAGGACGGGGGGAGGAGGACGACGAGGAGGAGGAGGAAGGAAGGAAAAGGAGGAGGAGAAGGATAGTGAAGAGGGACATACCGGATCGAGGATCAAGGATCCAAGATCCAAGATGCAAGATCGAGGATCCAAGCTCGATCGAAGTTCGAGGATCGATGGGAGGTCAAATTTCCAGGTCTTCCCGTTTCCTCCCCTCTTCTCCCTCGACCGTGCCCTCGACCAGTCCCCCTCCCCATCCGATTCCCCCTCGCTTGTTCTTTTCCTCAGTTCCTTTTCCTTCCAGGGGTCCCGATCGAAAGACCCAGGGGCGATTGGAAACGGAAGATCCAGGGACGGGGATCCAGGATCATTCGAAGATCCAGGGTCGAGGCTCGATGCACGAGGATGTTGTCCAGGATCTTGTCCTCACTTCCTTTTCCTCCCAGGGGAGACGATCGGAAGGTCCATGGGCGATCGGAAACGGAAACTCCAGGGACGGGGATCCAGGATCATTTGAAGATCCAGGGTGGAGGTTCGATGAACGAGGATGCTATCCACCAGTGTACACAGCTACACACAGAGACACTTGCATGGCATCACCACCAGTACACACAACCACACACAGAGACTCTTGCATGGCATTATCACCAGTGCACACAGCCACACACAGGGACACTTGTACGGCATCACCACCAGTGCACAAAGCCACACACAGAGAAACAACGTATGTCGGCATCAGTGCACGGTCCAGCCTCCAGGCCAGAACTCGCCATTGCCCGCATGTGCGTTGCGAAGCAAAACGCAAGGTGCGCAACACAGAAGTGGTCGATTCAATATGTTTGTTTTGTGGGTTTTGGGATCCCGCCGGGCATTTCCATGGACCGCCTTCAGGGTAACCGTCGGATGCCCCCAGACTGGAGGCCGGTCCATTTGGACTGGCCCGGGCCTGGAGACCGGTCCGTATGCTAGTAGTAGTAGTAGTAGTCGTAGTAGTAGTAGTAGTAGTAGTAGTAGTAGTAGTAGTAGTAGTAGTAGTAGTCGTAGTCGTAGTCGTAGTAGTCGTAGTCGTAGTCGTAGTCGTAGTCGTAGTCGTAGTCGTAGTCGTAGTCGTAGTCGTAGTAGTAGTCGTAGTCGTAGTCGTATTAGTAGTAGTAGTAGTAGTAGTAGTAGTAGTAGTAGTAGTAGTAGTAGTAGTAGTAGTAGTAGTAGTAGTAGTAGTAGTAGTAGTAGTAGTAGTAGTAGTAGTAGTAGTAGTAGTAGTAGTAGTAGTAGTAGTAGTAGTAGTAGTAGTAGTAGTAGTAGTAGTAGTAGTAGTAGTAGTAGTAGTAGTAGTAGTAGTATAGTAGTGGTACGAAGTAGTAGTAGATTAAGTAAAGGAGGAGGAGGAGGAGGGGGAGGGGAGAGGAGGTAGTACCAAAACGAGTAATCGTCGTCGTCGTCGTCGACGGAAACGTGACGAACTTTGTAAAGCCGTAGTAGTAGGAATAAGTAAGTAAGTAGTAGTAGTAGTCGTAGTAGTCGTAGTCGTAGTAGTAGTCGTATTAGTAGTAGTAGTAGTAGTAGTAGTATAGTAGTTGAAGTAGGTAAAGTAGTAGTAGTACCGTTCGAGTCGTAGTAGGTGTAGTAGTAGTAGTAGTCGTAGTAGTAGTAGTAAGTCTTAGTCTTAAGTCGTAGTAGTCGTAGTAGTAGTAGTAGTAGTATGTAGTCAGTAGTAGTAGTAGTAGTAGTAGTAGTAGTAGAAGTCGTACTAGTAGTCGTAGTAGTAGTAGTAGTAGTCGTCGTCGTCGTCGTCGTCGTCGTCCTCGACGTAGACGTAGTAGTAGTAGTAGGAGTAGTAGTAGTAGTAGCAGCAGTAGTAGTAGTAGTAGTAGTGGTAGTAGTTGTCGTAGTAGTAGTCGTCGTAGTAGTATTATTAGTAGTAGTAGTAGTAGCAGTAGTAGTATTAGTAGTAGCAGTAGTAGTAACGTAGTAGTAGTAGTAGTAGTATAGTAGTCGTAGTCGTAGTCGTAGTCGTAGTCGTAGTAGTAGTAGTAGTTATAGTCGTAGTAGTAAATATAGTATATAGTAGTCGTAGTCGCATTCGTCATAACTAGTATGAAGTAAGCTAGTAGTAGTCGTAGTAGTAGTAGTAGTATAGTAGTACTAGTAGTAGTAGTAGTAAGTAAGACGTAGTTGTAGTAGGTGTTGTAGTTGTAGTAATAACAGTAGTCGTAGTAGTAGTAGTAGTAGTAGTAGTAGGTAGTAGTAGTAGTAGTAGTAGCAGTAGTAGTAGTAGTAGTCGTAGTAGCAGTAGTAGTAGTAGTAGTCGTAGTAGTAGTAGTAGTAGTAGTAGTCGCAGTAATAGCCGTAGTGGTAGTAGTAGTAGTAGTAGTAGTCGTAGTAGTAGTAGTAGTAGTCGTAGTAGTAGTAGTAGTAGTAGTAGTAGTAGTAGTATTCGTATTTGTAGTAGTCGTAGTAGCAGTAGCAGTAGCAGTAGTTGTAGCAGCAGTAGTAATAGTCGTAGTAGTAGCCGTAGTAGTAGTAGTAGTAGTAGTAGTAGTAGTAGTAGTAGTAGTAGTAGTAATAACTCAAGCCATTGGCGACGCCGGGCGGCCTCCGGGCGGCTTTCGAGCCGCACGCCCGTGATGCGCTTGCCCGCCTTTTCGGCGGGCGACTTCTTTCTCGTGCTTTTGCTCACTCTGAGCTCGGCCGCGTTGGTGTCAATTGTGCGCCCCGACGCTTTGGGCTTTGGCCCGAAGCACGGTGCGCCCTTTGACGTTACCGCTGATCCTGTGGCCGCCCTCCGTGAGGGCCTGCTACTTTTGGCCAGGTACTGGAGGTGCGCACTTATAGGTGCGTATCTCATTTTTGTTTCACTGGTGTTATCCGCCTTTGTTGCTCCAGCTAAGCGTGGGGATTCCTTGCTCCAGGCTATTGCCATCACTGGTACGGGAACGGCACAGCGCTTCAACACGGTGCAGGCCCGGCTTCGGTACATTAGTTCACTCTTGGCGCGGCTACGCAACTCGAGCGAGCGGCAGCCCTCATCTAGTGCTGACGTTGGCACTAAGCTATGCGAGATTGATATGCGCCTACAGGCTTATGCGCAGCAGCGAGCCGCTATTGACAATGGCGCTCTGCGGAGCCTAAGTATGTTGCAGACCCGTTTAGATGAGTGCGTCGTCACCCTTGGCGCACGCCTGAATAGCGTGGATGCGCAGATGACAGCTCTTACGATTGAGCTTAGAAGAGACCGCGTGGCAGACAAGGACCTGAAGACCGTGGATTCGCCGCGTAATTCTTCACAGGTCGGTGGAGACGAGCCGGCTTGCAGCTTGCCCCTTCCCCTGGTTCCTCACATGGCAGGATCCGACCCGGCTACGCACCTTGCTGCAGCGCCGGTACTTAATAACCCACACGACGGCCATGGGAGCCGACCTGCGGAGGTTCCGGAAGAGCTGCATTTATTTGGCGGCACCTTCGCCGTAGCCGCGAAAGAGCTGTTGAAATTCAACCAGGAGACTCCTGGTAGGATCCTTGCCGAGTTGGAGCGCCCGATCTATACGGCTAAGGTTGAGGGGTATTCGTTTGGGGACGTTTCTCGGTGTCAGAACATTGGAGGCGGGGCCTTCCCAAAGGTCTCTTGCGACCGTGCCCTCGCCCAAGCGTGTAAGAACGTCTGGGCGACCGAGTCCTTGGACATGGCATTCGCTGCTGCGAAGCTCCTACCGTCCCGCAAGGCCAGGCTTTTGGCCTTCCTCAAACATGTCAGCGCTGTCTCAGCCGTGCTTGATTGTGTGAAGCCTAGAATAGATTCGATGACGCGCTTGCTTTGGCAGCACAACGCTGCGTTAGTGGACCTAGAGACTTACAGGCGCACGCGTCAGGACGTGTACGATTGGATGCAAACTGGAGACCCTTTGTACGTGACTAAGACGGGGACGTCCGTCTCTAAGCATCCAGGATTTGATGCAGAGATTGGCAGGACCAAGCGTAACTCCAGCGCAT